AAGAAATCTTGCTTAGGGAAGAAGATTAGCTGGAGGCAGAAATGGATCAAGGAGGGAGATGGCAACACTAAATTCCTCCATGTAATAGCTAATGGCAGAAGAAGGAAGAACTTTGTGGAGAAAGTAGAAGTGAACGGAAAGGTGGTTGTAGACCAAGAAGAGATAGCTAATTGTTTTGTTAACCATTTCAGATCAGTTTACAGAAGGCATGACGAAACCAGCTTCATAGTGGCCAAGATTGGACTCTGAAAAGGTAAGATGGCTCGAAAGGGACTTTGAAATGGAAGAAATCAGGGGAGATGTATTCTCAATGGAAAGATGTAAAGAACCAAGACCAGATAGGTTCACTTTGGCTTTTTTTTCCAAGATTGTTGGGAAATAATCAAATCTGAATTGTGGGAGGTCTTTGTGGAATTTGCTGAGGATCATTTCATTAGTACCAAGATAAATTCTACTTTTCTAGCCCTATTACCTAAAAAGGAAATGCTATCCAACCTAAAGATTTTAGGCCCATCAATCTAGTGATGAGCATCCACAAAATTGAGGCCCAAGTGCTGTCTTTGAGGTTAAGAGCAGCCCTTCCAAATTTAATAAATCAATCAATCATCAGGAGCTTTCATCCAAGGTAGACAGATTACTGACCAGATTCGAATAGCTAATGAGAGTGTGGAGGACTTCAAGAGAAGGGGAGAGAAAGGATTTGTGTGTAAACTGGACCTGGAAAAAGCTTATGACATGGTTGATTGGCCTTTCTTGTTGGAAACCTTGAGGAATTATGGATTTGGTGAGAGATGGTGTAGCTGGACAGAAGGGTGTCTGGAAACTTGTCATTATTCGGTTCTAGTTAATGGTATGGTTAGAAACTTCTTTCCAGCTACCAGAGGTTTAAGACAAAGTGACTCCCTATCCCTCTTCCTCTTTATCTTGATAGCTGATGTGTTTAGCAAACTTATTGAGAAAGTATATAGGTTGGACCTAATAAGAGGGTGGGGGATAGGAAGAGAGGGCATAGTTGTAACCCATTTGCAATTTGTGGATGATATGATCATTTTTTGTGGGACAGGGAACACACATAAGGCAATAAATTTGAAATGGGTGATAAAGCTATTTGAACTTGTTTCTAAGATGAAAATCAACTTTGAGAAGAGTTGCATTGTGGGGGTAAATTTGGAAGAGGAGTTGATTGGAGTAGCAAAGTCTTTAGGTTGTTTTACCTCTAGTTGGCATTTGAAATACCTAGGAATGCCTTTAGGAGCGAGGCCAAGGGAGAGTAGGTTTTGGAATCCAATAGTAGAAAATTGTGCAAAGAAATTGGCAGCTTGGAAGTGGAGTTATGTGTATCTTGGGGATCTTATCACTTTGATAAAAGCTACCTTAGCGAACCTTCCATTTTACTTTCTCTCTGTTTTTAGGATGCCACAACAGGAGGTGTTGAAAGTAGAAAAGATCATGAGGAACTTCCTATCAGAGCCTAGTGAAGATAGAAAGGATCATCTGGTTAAATGGGAACAAATGTGCAAGAGGAAGCAGCAGGGGGGGGTGGGCTTGGTAACCTAATAAGAATACAACTTTGTTCTTTTTTTTTTTTTTGATCAATAACAAAGGATTTCATTAATTAGAAAAAAAGGATACAAAGGAAGGAGATATAACCTCGCTTACCTCCCCCAAACAAGAAAAAAACCAGAAAAATTACAGTTGAGCCCAAAACAAGTTATCCCTGTTCACCCCTTGCTTTGCTAACCCATCAGCAAAGGAGTTTGCACATCTCTTAACCCAAATTACTTACTTTAACTTCCATGTTACAAGATTTGAACCCATGACCTCTTATTTTCTTATATTGCTTAATTACCATTAGTCCACCTCTTAACTTGTAGAATACAACTTTGTTGGGAAAATGACTGTGGAGGTGGCCATTGGAAGGGGATAGATATGCTTTGGCATAAAGTTGTGAAGAGCATTCATGGAGTTGCAGGTAATGGTTGGGACGTTGGTGTATCTCGGCGGGCTACTTTGAATTCTCCATGGAAGACAATACATAGCATTCTTCTCCAGTTCCTTAGCCTGGTCAGGTATGATGTGTGCTTTGGTGACAAGGTTCTGTTTTGGGAGGATGTTTGGATTGGTAACTCTATCCTCAAGGATCACTTTCCTTCTTTGTTTTCTGTTTCCCTCCTTGAAAATGAACCTGTTCAAAGGTTTGTGACTTCTTCTCACTCTTCTGGTTTCAGTTGGAATTTGGGTTTTAAGAGACTTGAGCAACTCTAAACTCCAACTTGTTGCTCAGTTTCTTAAAATTCTCGACCCCTTTTGCTTGGACCCTTCTAAGCCCGATGCTTGTGTTTGGACCCCAAACCCTTGGGGCTCTTTTTCGTGTGCTTCTTTCTTTTCCTTTTAGTGCTCTGTCCCTTCCCCTCATCCTTTTCATTGGAAGGAGAATTGGTCCAAACCTATCCCCCCTAAAGTGGGAGCTTTGTGCTGGGAAGTGACTCTTGAGAAATTAAACACCTTGGAGTCTTGGACATGTTGTAAAAAAGAAGACCTAAGCTAAACCTCTCCCCAAACTGATGTATTCCCTGCAAAGCTAATGGGGAAAGTTGGTACTACCTAGTAATCTCCTGCCCTTTTATTGTAGGTCTTTGGCAGAAACTTTTTGATCCCTTTGGTTGCAGGTGGCTAGAGCCGTTGCAGATTAGTAGTCTATTTGATCCTACAACCTTCAGGTGGCCAAAGAGAAGAGGTAGAGTCTTGTGGAGGCATGTCAGGGCTGCTTTGGTTTGGACTGTTTGGGAGGAAAGAAATGCCAAAAATATTCACAGAGAAAGTGAGGGATGTGGGGACGTGATGGTGTTTGGGATTGTCTCATTAACAAGGACATTATGTTGGCCAAATCTCTAGATCTCTTTTCTTCTTTCTCCTATGAGGATATTTCGGGGAATTGGGATTTGGTGGCCAATAGCTCAATTGCAAGAGTTAAGCCTGCGGTGGAATGGAAACCCCCTGAAGAAGGTGTCATCAAGTTAAATTTTGATAGTAGCAGTCTAGGCAATCCAGGCCCATCAGGGATTGAAGGAGTCTTTAGAGATGCACAGGGGCAGATTATTGCTTTATTTTCTGGTCCTATTGGAGAGGCGGATTCAGTTAGTGTGGAAGTTCAAGCATTTTCCCAAATGCCCCTTTCACCCCTGAGACATCCCTGCTTGATCTTGAGAGAGACTGATAAAAAGGATTTAATTGAAAAGAAACCATTTTTTTATTTTTTCCACCATCTTAAGTCTTTCCTTTCCACCTGAGGCTCCACTGATTGTAATATGCCAGAAGATCTGACACTGTTGAATTTCCCAATCAAATAGAGCTCTCCTAAATTTCCTTTGATTAAAGAAGGGAGGAAATATTTACTTTGATAAAATCGAAATAAACTTCCTTTCGACAATCGATGCATACTTTGACAAGATTTCATGTTTACATCGATTTAGGGTGTATATTCACAATTTCACCCTCCAACCAAATGATTGCAAGATTGGACTGGAATGCATTATAGCACTGATCCGGTTTTTGCATTGCAACCAAATGCAGCTTCAGGCACATAATGGTGAGAGGGGATTCGAAGGTGGTAGTGAGGTGCCTAAGAAAGTGTAGCTAGTCTTCATGGCACTATAGGAATATAACGAGAGAAACTAGATATCTGACCAAGGAATCGGTCAACTATCCCTGGGTTCATAAATCAGCTAATAGTTTGACTAACACAACGGCTAAACAGGGTGCATATTGGAACCTACTTTTCTAGGGCAGCCCAGTGCACGAGGCTCCTGCCAATGCGGGGTCTGGGGAGAGACAGATGTACACAGCCTTACCCCTCCACATACAGAGAGGCTGTTTCCAAAACCAACTTTCCTAGAGGTAATTGTAAACGTAAAAAAGGGGGAAGTGTGAGGTGGCAACTGCTATCCTTAATTTAGGGGGTCCTTGCCTGCTTGGCACTTCCATGAAGTTTATCTATACTTACCAATTGCAATAAAAGGTTGCCAATTCTTTTGAACATTTCATCTTTCCACAGGTTGAGCTGGAATCCAAATATCCTCACCCAGATCATTCTTGAAAAGTTCTCCTATGACACTCAATTAGTTACCTGGCACCCTCTAGCTACATGCAATTGCCCTTTCACCAACTGCAGTACCTTCACTTCCAAGTCTGGCACATTGTGTGGCAGGACATAGAGGTCTCTCCCCATTCAAAATGTTTCAACAGATAGCTTTGTTGAATATGAAAGCTAGGCATTTTCTCTTTTCTCCAATCTTTGATTTCCTTCTTCACTGTAATCACCCAAGCATTTTCAATTTTAAGGAGCTCCCCTCCATCATGTCCTTTGGGAAGATTGACATTACTGACATGGAGATGGTTTCTTCTTTTTTGATCTTGTGAGTTGATTTTTCTTTCATTATAATAGAACTCTTCCCTTATGCACTTAATCCTTTCATTTCCAAATACTTTTTCATAGAAGATTAGAAAATGACACCTGCCCAACCAGTCATTTCCCTTCTGACACAGAGATTATCTATTTTTTGTTCATGACAAAGAACTCCATTAAACAAGCATAGTGACCTTTTCATTCTTTTTTCTCTCCACCACATAGCAGTAATCCTGGTATTTAAGTTTGTTCCTCCACATTCTCTGCTTATCAGTGAAACTGGCATCATCCACTTCCTTTAAACCATTGCACTGTCTCTGCTCCCTGAAACATGCATTGCTTTGTAATCTCTCTTACTTTCCATACCACATTCTTGTTTCACACTATCTCTTTGATTTTGAAATTTCTTATCTTGATATTGATGTCTTTTCTGAACTTTCCCCACTTGGGTCATCACTGTAAACTCCATTGGTCAAATTTTATGTTTATTCCCGAATAAACAGGTTGCTGTTTATGCTGTCAAAACTATGATGCATGTTATTGTTTTTTTTTTTTTCCCTTCTATTAATATGTATCTTTCTCCTTTTGTTTGCAGGCCGGTGCTTCTTTAGAATCACTTGCTAAAGGTGCAGTGCGATTCTCCCGCAGATTTACTATTCGAGAACTGCAAGATCGGTGGTACTCTCTTCTCTATGATGCAGATATTGCAGCTGAAGCTTCTGCTCGCATGGTTGAGTTTGAACTCTCTGTCGAAAATCTTTCATCAAAATCTAACAGATCTGGCAATATCAAAGGAAATCAATGTGCTCCTGGGAAAAGAAAAACTGAAAGTATTCGTAGTCATTACTATGCGATGAGAAAGAGAATTTGCAATGAACCTTGTAACTCTGTGGACACGAATTTTTTGGTTGCACCCAATGTTCATGCTGGTAATGGAGGTGGGTGTCAAGAGCAGTTAACACTTCCTAGTGAGCCTCCATTTGGAAATTGCATGCTTGGAAATCCCATCTCAAATCATCTTGGCCTTCAGGAAACAGACTTTGATATTGTATGCCATGCTTTTCCACAAATTGTGGGGGATAGCACTGATGTTGCTGGCTACGTTGAGGGTACTGCCCATGTATTTCATAGTGGGAATGCTGATGCATTTGACAATCATCCGGATTTATATGGTGGAGCAGTGAGGAATGGAAAAGGGCATTCATTTGAGCATGATGATGTACATAGAGATATTCCTCATATTCTTGGTGAGAATCCTTCCGTCTTTGGGAATTGCACAGGTCCCCAGGAAGTAGGGCCATCCCAAGAACCACCAGTGAACAACCTTTTTGAAACTGAAAATATAGAGGGAAAACCTTCATCAACTTTTGGTTCAGTTAATACTAACCCTAGAAGTGTTTGCTCTGGATTTGGACATAGTCAAGGCTTCAGTTCTCCAGTTCCAGATTGTGGTGCTGCATTTCAGCAGTTGGGATGTTCATCTCCACTAGCCAGGATGCCCATCTGGGAAACAATTCAGGATGCTCCTACATCAGCTGTGCCAATTGATGTGAGTCTTGGAGACAAAGATCAGGTTACAGGAGACACATTGACATGCCCTGATAATGCTGGTGCTGCTAAAGTAAGCACATTGGGATATGAGGTCAAATCAGAGCCTAAGTTGGAAGAAATTGCATGTGCAGATGTGTTGCCTACTAAAACTACTATTTTAGATGGTGATTTTATGGACCTTTCAGATTCTCTTTTGAACTTTGGAAATGATGAAGAGCTCCTCTTCATTGATGCAGATGGAAAAGACATAATGGATACCTCTTGTCTTGATGGCCTTGACTCAATTTTGTTAAGTTCTCCTAGTGATATTCATCAAGGTCATATGCCTAGTATAACTGAGCCCAAAGCATCTGTTTTGCCAGATACGTGCTTGTCAACTGCTGAGGGTGGTTGTCCTGGAGAATCATCTGATATTGGTTATGCATTGCATCCTGGCTCTGTTAGTGGGCACAAGTTATGTGAATTTGAGAGCACCATGCCAACCTCAACACCAGTAGAAAATATTGATTCCCTTGAACTTCATAATGGGGTTATTTGCTGCAGGCTGAACATGGAAGACCCTGAAATCCCATGCAATGATGACATTTTTATACCTAATCAAATGGAGTCTTTATCTGCTTCCTCTGAAATGCAGCATGAATATAAAGGTTCTAAAAATCCAAGTTCTGCCAAGGACTTGTCTGATAATAGAAAGGCTAGTGAACAAGGACTACGCTTTATAAAGGAAGAAGAAGGTGAAATCCCTGCTCGACCTCTTCAAGCCCCTAGAATGGAGTTGGAGGTGTTGCCAGACAGAGGTCCGGGTCATCCTGTTTCTTGTTGTGGGGTCAAATCTGAGTTGCATGAGAGTGGTTCTCTTGGTATGGCCTTCAGGCATGTGGGCACTGTTTGTGGGGACCCAAGCCAATGCAGACCACTGCCAGATTCTGTCCAGGCTAGGTCACTGAAGGAAGTGATCACAAAAGCTGAAATTGGAAAACATCATGATTTTAATAGTTTAGTTGATCCTTTTCTGGAGAAACAAGTGCATGCTTCTGATCACACTAAAAGCTGCCCCCGAAACATTGTTAGGGGATGTAAAGTGGAAGAAGATGTGCCAATTGCCATTGCTGCTCAAAAGAATTTGTCATCAAATGCAGAACCTTGTTCGGTAGAAATGGCTTCTTCAAAACCAGATATAAACCCTTTGACATCAGATCAGGAAGAGCAGCTCTCTGAAAGCGATGGTGATGTACCTTATTTTTCTGATGTTGAAGCTATGGTAAATGTTTAGATTTTTTGACAATCATTGATTGTTTTTTCTTGAATTGTGGTAACTGATTTATTGATCACTTTTTTAGAGAATTGTCTTGGTCTCATTTGTCTATGTTTGCTCTCAGATACTTGATATGGATTTGGGTCCAGATGATCAAGATTCATATTTCAGCAGGGAAGGTAATTTCTTTAAGGTTAGCTTGAATTTGTTGAATATTCTGCTTTCCATTTTTATTTCACACTGCAAATAAGCGTTTCATATGCCAGGATGAGTTTTCTTTTTTCCTTTTTATTTTTTGACAAGTAACTGAAACATTTTATTAAGATCTATCAGAAGTATTGCAAAGCATTACAATCATTCCTTGGGTAGGGTAACGATTACTACCCTACCACAGCATAATCATACAAATTACTAAAAAGCCAAAAACAATTGATTTCCATTAACCCCTTGCTTAGCTAAAGCATCAGCCGACCCATTTGCAGATCTATGTACCCATTGTGTCTTTATATTCATGCTCCTTGTCAGCCAATCAATCTGTTTAAGTTCATTCCTGTAATTCCTCCCCCATACTGCATCCTCACTATTTTTTAGCCACCCAGTTACAACCTTAGAGTCACCTTCTATTACTAAATTAGTGAGATTCATTTCTCTTGCCCGCTGTAAAGCAATGAGGGATGAAATTCATAATGACTTAATACTTGCTTTTGATGGACTAATAGTAAGATTTGGGGGATAAAGTCATAAATGGTGGCGCCAAGGGGTAGGGGTGCAACTTGGGTGGGTCCAACCTGAGCCCGGCCCGACCCAACCCGAGTTTTTGCATGGGTTGGGCTTGAGTTTTGAGGCTGCAATGCTTGTACCAATCAAAGGCATTTATGTAATTATGAATCATCTTATATATACTATGAAAGTAATGACTGCAAAAGAGAACTCTCCTTCTCTTTGTCTACTCTTCTAAATCTCCTCATTCTTTCTCTACAAGTACAAACTCAATCTAAATCTGCCAGTGTATCAGAGCACACCATTCTGAACTCCTTTTTTAGGTATTGTAATGTCATGTTGCATTTACAATGGTTCTTTCCTCCTAGCTATCAGTTTATCACATTCTGTATTGAACAGGGCAAGGATTCAGGTCAATTGAGTATGAGTCACATACAATGTTCTTATTATGGATGGTGGGGGTTTTTAGTTTGATGCAAGTATTTTGTCTTGGTTATATACTCAAACCTATATGTATTTGGTTTCATTTAGTCTAGCCAAATCTTGGTGCTCAATGCTTGATGACCAACTCTTAAGTTGGTCAATTTTTTCTACATGTTCAATTTTATTGATGGACTTGGCTAGCATGATTGTCACTTTAATATTCATATATTTATGGTCAAATAGTATTCTCAGTCATCATCAAGAATAAAGGCTCCTGAAAATATAACAATTTATTTTATCCACCCTGTCACATTAGATTGCTTGTTTGGTGACATAGGTATCACATGTATATTTTGTCATAGTATAATCTAGTAAGTAATTTAAAATTGGTTCTGTTCCCTGTCAATTCCAGTCTCTAGATATCAGTGTGAGGATGCTAAGAGAGCAATCATAAGGCTGGAACTGGGTTTCCAGTCCTACATGGAAAGAGATATTATCTCCCATGGAGCATTTGCTGTTTTGTATGGCCGCCATTTAAAGCATTATATCAGGAAACCTGAGGTACTTATCCCATATTTGATTTTCACAGAAGTTCCCTTATTTGCTAAAGTACTATGTTATTTAAAGTTGTTTGACTGTTCTTCAACTACACTGTTCTGATATTATTACATTCTTCTTCTACCTTGTAAATCTTAGCATTTAAGAAGGGTTCATTTTGTTGTCTTTATGTTTTATTTTTTTCCTTTAAATTTTGATAATTTTCAGATTGTAGCTTGGTTCTGTATATAGTCTCAAACAAATTTGTTTGTTATACAGACATATGGATGAATTACTTATTGTGATACCAAAATTACATCATTATCCTACTGAGACAAGAATCAATACTTAGTTTAGAAGGCATGGTGTAGTAAGAAGACCATCCAAGGTACAAGGCCATAAAAAGCAAGACACATCTTTTTTTTTTTTAATTAAAGAGTAAATAAAAAAACATTAATACATACAATTATGGTGACCTGATTTAAAAAAATGAGATGATTTAAAAAGCTTATAAGCTCAAATCAAAATACATAAGCATTACATCATCATCATCCAAGCCTTATCCTAACTGTATCACTGTATGGCAGCTACATGAATCCTGTTTCACCATTTTGTTCTGTTTAAGGCCATATCCATTGTTAAATTATCAGTGCTTAAATCGTTTCTTAATTCTTACTACTTTGATCCATGTCCTTTTTGGTCGACCACTACCCCTTCTAGCCCCTTCAACTTGCAATAAATTTAGCGAAAGTTAAAGCAAACAAGTGTGGAATTGAGGACAGTATCAAAGTGCTTTAAGCACTCAATAATTCAAATGTGTGGAACTCCTAGTTGTGTCATTTAAAGTGGATAGTGTGGTGTCAGATGTCTTGTGTTCCTATTCCTAGGAGGTTGGAGCCTTTACATTGATACCTCTTCAAGCCCCTTTGAGGGGAGTCCCCATATGAGGTGTTTGGAGGCAATGCCACCAACCCAAATTTCTATCCATTATATATAAGAGGGTTGGTTTTATGATTTTGATCACAGGTAATTCTATTTTAGGGTTATGCATCAAAGATCCATTGTTTTGTTGTTGTTTCTTTTGTGAAAACTTATGAGATCCTATATGCAACAACTTGGGATTCAGTTATTAATTTTTTTTTCCTTTTAAATGTTAGTAGACCATTACTAGTGCAAAGAGGGAGAAAAAGGAATGTATAAACTAACAAAGATGGAAAAACTATTTTGAGAAATTATTAAATGAACAATAGGGAGAGTGTGCTTTAATGGAGAAGCTAGCAATCCTAATAGTGTTAAAAATAATACATACCTTCGTAGAGTTAGACTTATTGAAGTAAAAGAAGCACTAAATAAGATGAAGAAGAGAAAAGTGTTAGGACCTGATGAGATTCCAATAGAAGTGTGGAAAGGTATAGGAGAGGTAGGCTTGCTGTTGGCAACTAAGATATTTAAGAACAATGGTGATATGCAAAGTTGTAATAACTATCAGGGGATTAAACTCATGAGCCACACTATGAAACTTTGGGAGAGAATAATTGAACAAAAATTATGACTTGAGGCAAGATTGGCAAGTGTATTAGAACCAATTTGGCTTTATGGCAGTGAGGTCAACCATAGAAGCTATATTTCTTTTGAGGCGATTGATAGAAAAGTTTAGATAGAAGAAGAAAGATCTTCATATTGATCTAGAAAAGGCTTATGATAGAATTCTTAGAGAGATAATATGGTGGGTCTTGGAAAAGAAAAAGGTTCAAAATAGGTATATAGACCTAATCAAGGACATGTATGAGGGGGCAACAACCAATGTTGGAACACTAGTGGGAGAGACTGCGGATTTTACAGTTATGATGGGTCTTCACCAAGATTCAGCACTTAGCCCTTATCTATTTGCACTCATCATAGATGAATTGACTAAACATATTCAGGAATAAGTTCCATGGTGCATGTTGTTTGCGGATGACATTATTTTAATTGATGAAGCTAATGAAGGATTAAATGCAAATTAAGCTTATAGACAAATGCCTAGAAATAAAAGGTTTTTAAATAAGTAGAACTAACACAAAGTATATGATATGTAAATTTAGTAATAATAGGAGTGTAAATCAGAATACACTTAGGATTGGAGATCAAGAGATAACTCAAGGTGACCATTTTTCAATACCTTTGTTCAATAATTCATAACAAGGGAGAGATTGAGGAGGATGTCACCCAAAGAATTAGAGCAGGTTGGGCAAAATGGGTGGGTGCATCTAGATTTTTGTGTGATAGGCAAATACCACTTAGATTAAAAGGAAGATTCTATAAGCACTTGTAAGGCCAGGTATGTTGTATGGAGCAAAGTGTCAGACAGTCAAGAAACATGTCCAGAAAATGAGTGTGGCAGAAATGTGGATGCTCAGATGGATGGGTGGAAAAACTAGAAGGATAGGATAAGGAATGAAGTCATCCTTAGGAACCTAGGAATAGCTCCAATAGGTGATAAAATGAGAGAGAGTAGACTTAGATGGTTTGGTCACGTGCATAGAAGACCACCAACAGCTCCAGTTAGAAGAAATGATTTGTTACAAGTGGAAGGGGCTAGAAGAGCTAGGGGTAGACCAAAAAGGACATGGGTAGAAGTCATAAGAAATTATTTAAGCACTAGTAATTTTTTTTGATAATTTATTTAAGCACTAGTAATTTAGCACTGGGTATGCTTTTCAATAGAACGGTTTGGCAAAGCAGGATTCATGTAGCCAACCACATATAGTTGGGATAAGGTATGGATGATGATGATGAGACCATTACTAGTGCACAAGCTCCAATGAAAGGTAATTTAGAAGTTAATAGTCCATTACAAAGGTGTAAAATACGTAAGAATGTATAAAAAGTAATAAAAATGAAAACTTGTAAAAGAGACGTGCTTGGGACAAGGCACAAGGCACAAGGCAATCCAGGTGTGCATTTTCTGAAAGGGGCTATGCCTAGGTCGAAGCAAGGCACATGCCTTAAAATGTGCTTCACTTGTGTGCCTAGACATGCTTGAAGTATGCCTTAAATACTATATTGTGGATAAGTTGTAAGATGAGCCTCTCCATCAACCAAGATAGAAGTGTTACCAATTACCAAGGATTTTCATGTCCAACTCATAAGGTCGAATGATATAGGAAATCCTCCATACAAACATTAAAACATGGACAACAACAGAGAAAATCCCATTTTATTAAAAAAAAACACTTTGAGTTAGTGTTGAGGTCACTGTATCCATAATTGATAATATTCATAGGAATAACAGAATTTAACTTGAAAACAGTTTCCTACTCTACTGTAAAGTCCTTTCAAATTCTTAAATACCCAAAAATAATTAAAACATGGGTTGGTGATTTAGGCATTCCATATTTGATAAATGGGGCATTCTCCTGATTAATACCCAATTGATAAAAGAAAAAAAAAGGAGCATTTTGTCAAAATGATAATGATGCTTGGTTTTCCATGCAGGGATTTTGATATAGGCTCATGCCCACGATGCCTTTTTATGTTACCTAGGGACCGAGTGATCATCATCATCATCATCCAAGCTTTACCCCAACCATATGGGTTTGGCTAAATGAATCCTATTTTGCCAGTCCATTCTGTTTAATATCCATTGTTAAATTATTGGTGCTTAAATCATTTCTTACTACTTCTACTCATGTCCTCTTTGGTCCATCCCTTGCCCTTTTATCCCCTTTAATTGTAAGAAATCACCTCTTCCAATCTGGGAGAAATACCATCCATGTCCTCTCCAGTTTGGAAGCAAATTTTAACCCTTGTAGTACAGCTAATATTTCCACTCTCAATGAATTTCCAACCCCTTCTGTAGTGATTTAAAAGGCGTCCCTAGGCACATAGCCGAGGTGTATTTGAAGGCATGCACCTGGTGTGCCTTGTGCCTCAATTCAAATTGAGGCAGCATGAGGTGTAAGCCTCTAAGTAAGTGTGTGTGTGTGTGTTCCTTTTAATACAAATTACATATATATTCATTTTCATATGAATACTATGCTTTTGAATTTTTATTTTGCATTCGTTTTATGTTTATAACCAATCTCTATCTAAATTATTACAATTTATTTTGTAATATCTTGTGCATTTAAGTATAGAATATTTTTATTTCATATCAATTTTTTTATTTACTTTCATGATGCTTTTTTAATGTTAATCACACGTATTTGAAGTTTTATTTTTTAGTTTGTAATCCTCCAGGCTTTGCCTCCCATGCCTTTTAAAAACATTGCTCTCATGTGTCATGGGTGAATATGTGAACGGATATGTTTTGGAAAAAGTAAGGTAATTTTATTAGAAAAAAAAAATCAGCCACCTACAAAAGGGGATTTCAATCAACTGAACCACACCCCAAAACAACTAAAAATCACAAACACCACACAGAAACAGAATGCAGGACATTACAACTAGGCTGTTGGGGGTACTCCCTGGCAGCCACAACCCAAGAACTCAACCTCCCCATTGCAGCATTAGTCATCTCCTCAGGTTGCTGGTGAAGCCACTGAAAATTTCTTTTGTTTGGTTCTTTATCCCCCTGTATACTCCATGTCTTTGTATAAAAGGAACCAATGTTGAAATTCCTTTCTCCCCCTTGCTCCCCTTGAACCTTAATTGGGATTTTGGTTTTAGAAGGGGGTTGAAGGATGGTGAGTTTGCAGTTTGCTTCAGTCACATCTCTCTTGCAAACCCTGAACAAAGTTTGTTTGGACACCTCTAGATCCAACAGGCATGTGTAGATACCTAAGCCCAGAGGTCTTTTCTATTGGTGTTGGCCTATCCCCCCTAAGATTGGCCTTTTGTTGGGATGTCTTAATGGGAAAGTAAACACAATGTATAATTTGCAAGAAAGAAAACCTTTTCTTTGCATTTCCCCGATTTGGTGCATCATCTGTAAATCCAATGGAGAGAGTTGTTACCACCTACTGATCTCTTGTCAATTTGTTGTAGGCATTTGGGAGTGGTTTCTCTTTGTTTGGATGTGGGTGTAACTTGCCAACAGAATT